CGTCTGCACACACTCTTGCACTGGCTGGACTGCCTTAAGACCTTCCTCCTGTGTTGTAAAGCCAGCAAGAAAGCAAGGATTGAACTACTCTGGTAAGTCAACAAAGCCATCTTCTCTTTTTTTTTTTTTTAATTTTTATTTGGTTGACGGATTGCGCAGAAAAGCACTGCCTTGTTGCAGGTATGTGTAGTTGTTCTCCTAAGGAAGTTACAGCAGCTCACGTGTTCAGCGGTGGCATGAGACTGCAATACAAAGACAGCTCATTGACCCATGTCTCCCAGCACAGCCACAGCTCCAGAAGATTATTCACCTGCTGGAGCAATGTCTAGTATGGAAAACTCCACTGACCTCCACCCTGGGTGGTCAGCACCCTCTCTGGCTGGCCAAGGACTGTTTATCACTTCTTTTCAAAACTGGAAAGGCTATTTTTCACTTGTGGTAACAGTAAATTTATTTCTGAATCTCCTCTTGCAGCTTGCGTGAACAAAGCTTTGCTTACAGATGTAATTCAGAGCTATGATAAGGCATGAGCAGTTTCATATTCTAATTTTTGATTCCTTGACATAAATTTTCTTGGCTACTCTAGTAATGCGCCTCCAGTCATGCTGAAAATACCAGCAGCTCTGGTACACTTCTGAGGGCTAGTGAAAATGAATTTGGTGGCTGCAGCTAAGCCTCCCAGTAGCCATCTGTTCATATCCCTCCCCAAATCCAGGGTTGGAAGACCAGGAACATTCCCTCTCCTGTAATGAGACTAAGAATTTGCACATCTCTTTTAACTCTGTTCTTTTCAGAGCTCTCGCGTCTCCTGTGAAGGACACCAGATTCACCCAACTTTAGAAACATCCTGAGAACAAAAGAACAAAAGACCTGGGCTGTGGTGTCAGTCCCAGAGTGTGTGGTGTCTACTTGCCTGGTCTCCACCTCATCCAGTCTCACCAGGGGAGTGTTTGCAGGTGAAGATGAACAGTGGAATTCTCTTCTTCTCCCTCCTTGGCTTCCTGCCACTCGTGATACCCATATGCCCTGTGCCATGCAAGTGTGCCACCAACATTATCGACTGCACATCAAAAGGCCTAACTGTAGCAAAACTACCAGTTACTTTCCGCTCTTCAGCTGAAATTATCCACCTTGGTTACAACAGGCTCACCTCTATTCCCAATGGGCTCTTTGACAACCTGAAGAGCCTCCAGGTAGTCTACCTGCAGGGCAACCCTTGGGAATGCAACTGTGACATCCTCTACTTGCGCTCCTGGCTCCAGTGGCAGCAGAACCGGACCTTATACAGGGATGTGAGATGCAGCTCCCCAGCTCACCTGCAGGACCGGATCATTGCCTATCTGACAGAAGACGAGATCATCTCCACGTGCCAGTACTGGTACTGCAGCCTGGCTCTCCTCTCTCAGCTCTGTCTCTTCATCTTCCTTTTCCTCCAGGGTATCTTGGTTATCTTCATCATTGTCTACCTGCAGAAATTTCGGAGAATGACCGCTGAAGCCCAGAGCACCACCCGAGATCTACACCAGCATGTAGACACCTGGATATCTTCTTCAAGAAGCCCCTACAACAGTGATTAACATCACAAGACTGAAGACCCTCCTGCCCCTTGGGTGTTGCTGTGCCAAGGTCAGGCGGTTTGTGATATCCAGATGGGACATTTCAGTGCAGCCCTGATCCTGACTGCAATCCAAAGCAGGACTTGAACTGATCAGACACTTGCTCTATTTCCAAAGGCCTGATGCTGTGTTTTTTAATGCTTTAAACTCTTTAGCATGATCTTGATTGCTTTGCTGAGCTGGGAGTGGTTCTGGTTTGGTAGAGGAAGGAAATCACAAACTACGACCACTAAACTGCTCCTAAGCTCGTAGGGGCTCAATCCTTCCTATGCTAGAGAGTTTCAGCCATACTTTCCATGATGCTTCTGGTTGCATTGGGTGAGGTGGGGACAGAGGTGGGCAGTGAGCAGTTAAGGTACTGGACTAGGAAAATGGAGAAATAGTTTCCTCGGTGCTACCACAGATTGCCTTAGTAACTTTGGACAAGTGACTTAGTCTTCTCCTGCCTCAGTTTCCCTGTCAGTAAAAGGGAAAGGAGGTTTCTTCTTGCTTGATGCATCTTTTCCAGTGTTCTTCTGGGGGAGGGAGGGAGGGAATGTTTAGAAGCCTACCCATTTACCCTATCTTCATTCCTTATAATCTACTTACAGTTTTAATACTGACTTCAACATGTACTGAGTCAGACTGGGGGCCTGAACATTTATGAGAAATTCACCCTGAAGCTGAGAGCTGTCGAGACCAGAGGCTCTTTCTGGCTGTGCTTGTGTGGCACCTGGCGCCAGAGCTCTGCTCTTCTTTAGAGACTCAAACTGCAAAACCCACTGATGTGCCCGCTGCTGGTTATGGTGTCCCTGAATTACTTCTGGAATGGAGCAAAACTGAAATAAAGTAATGATGCATGATGATGTAAATGGCGTCTTTTTCCCTTCTACGCTAGGTATTTTGCACTCTGTCACACTCCCTGGCAGTTTCTCACGCTCCCTTATGCTCAAACTTTGTTCCAAGCAGAACCGATACAGAAGGCAGCTGGAGGTGTTACCAGCAGCGCGCCGTAGGGCCGAACTTGGGCAGCTGCTGGCTTCCACAATGGGCCGCTCTCAATGTGGAGTTGCTGCTCGTTCCCCTGAGTTCCTGCTTATTTTTATAGGATGGGGGTGGAAAGGGAAGGGTGTTCCCTGGCGCCGGCCCAGCTGGAGAGCGGCCCCCGAGCCCAGGTCGGGGGTTCCAGTGCTCCTCCAAGGCCCTCGGGTCGCGCAGAGCCGGAGCTCGGCCGCGGGAAGAGCCTCGCGCCGGCTCCAACGGTCGCTAACGGCCGCTAACGGCCGCCCCTCGGCAGGAGGCTGAGGAGGGACACCTGTGAGGAGGAGGAGGAGGAGGAGGAGGAGGAGGAGGAAGAAGAAGAAGAAGAAGAAGAGGAAGGAGCTGGTCTGGGCGCTCAGGGGGCTGCCTGAGGAGAAAAGGAGGGTCCCGGGGCTTCTCTGCCTCGGGTTGCTTCACCTCGGCTCAGCTCACCTCAGGGGTCCGTGCTAGCCCACAAAGCACGATGTATTGCAGTGAAATAAACCCCTGGTGCTTGGATGGAGGCTGAGGCAGAAAGATGGGGTCCTCTGTGCAATGTGCGTGCCCCTTGCCACGCTGAGGGAGGGCTGGCGTGCGGCGTGGCGGATGGCGTCGAAGGCTGAGGAGGACGTTCACCATGCGGCGTGTGGCTGGGCCAGCCTGATGTAAGTGATGCACAGCTCTGCCTTGGGACGCCTCTTTCTTCTCCCTGCCCCTTGTCTCTCCAACACCAACCCTCTATGTTGTTAGCCTGACTGGATGTTGCAGTGTAGCACCCAAGGAAATGGAGTTCTAGCTCAGATTTGTTTTTTTTCTTCTGGGGATTGGAGCTTGCTGGACTTTGTAGCCAATGCACCTCTTGCTAGGGGCTGCAAGATCCCCTGCAATGTCACCAGTGACCATGACCTCCGAGGGGGGACACAGCTCTGCTGAGGAGCCTACTCTGTGGAGATGCCTGAATTGGTGCTCCGTGAGGTCCCCCAACACTTTCAAATCTCTGATTTTTAAGTACTGTTGTATTGTTTCCCCCCACCCCACCCGAGGAACAAACTTTCCATAGGAACAGAAAGCCTGTTTTCTGGCTTGTTCTTCCCTGGTGACCTTTCCGCAGAATCAAGATGCAGATGTGTAAGGCAGCAGCTCAACCCACCATCTTCCCTTCTGCTTTCCCGGTACTATTGCAAAGTGTGCTAGTGTGGCAGAATGAATTTCTTGTCTTGCCTGCAGATTTTTAGCTGAATTTACCTGGGTTAAAGGATGTTGCTAGTGCACGTGGGCAGGTACTGACAGTGCTATGGGCACGGGCTCGGCTGCTGGGAGAGGCTGGACTGGGAGCAGGCACGATCCCAGCCCTGTGACTGCTTAGCTGCCTGCCTGTCAGCCCTGCTGTGGCGTGCTGGAAAACTGTCAGGACTCGGTGTGCCCACAAAGACAGAACAACTGCCGACTTTGGTTTCACTTCCCCGGGGAGGCAGGAGGGGTCCTGACTCTGCATCGTTAGGTCTTGGCACATGAAGGGTAAAAAGCCTTTTTGGTGTCATTTGCACCTGTGAAGAATGTGACCGGCTGTAGCAATGTGATAATGAATTGCACTGAGCGTGGAGTGATTTGTGCGCCATGGCAGCATGTCTAATCCATAAATCTAGAGCCTGCGTGTCTTGGCTTCTCCTGGCTCAGAAAGCTGCACGTCACAGATGCTTTCTTGCTCCGCTGGCCTGTGGAGGACCTGCTGTGCTGCTGCTGAAAGGAGAACTGGCTTGCTTTCTGAGGGGAAGGACTGTCCAAGCCTGCACAGTGGCTTCAAAGGGGAAGCAGTGGTGAAATATGGCAAAGATAAATGCAAGCTATTAAGCTGCTTTGCAAATCACTTCCTAGTACCAAGGGCAATCCAACACCTGGGCATGCAGGATTGGGCTGCCAGGCCTGCTGGACAGGCTGCTGCATTGCCAAAGGTTCAGGCTGCTTCCAAGCAGCTCCTTTCTCTGAAAGACACCAGTTTAAAAAAACGTGGGAAACCAAACCAAAGTGTGTTTGCAAAGCAGGTCAGCACTTCCTAAACGAAGGACTAAATGGTTGGTAGGTGACTTCGGGGAAGGCACCCTGGTTCTTCCTTCTTTCAAATGTCCTGTTTTTCAGTTATCTGCGTGGTGACTCTTGCATGCTTTGCAGAGTAAAAGAAGTCTTGAAAGCAAAGCAAGCAGATTTTGGAGCCTAGAGAATTTTACCCCAAAATCCCACAGAGAACCAGTTTTTCAGTCCCTGTACCTTATGGTGATAGTGGTTATGTTTTGCTTCAAGGTTGCTGCAGTTGCTTGTTTACAGATTGTCTGGGTTCATGCCACACCTGGGAACCTATCCCTGTTGTTTTAAATAGACTTTCATGGTTTCTGCACCATTGTATGTGGGATGAAAATATCACAATTGTATACATAAAGAACACCTTGTTATCACTGACTGCAGGGCTTGGTCACTGAGACAGGCCAATTCTATGCGACAGTTGGCGATGAAGCAGTGATTGGAGATCATATGGAGGAGGAAAGTCCTGCAGGAGCATGACTTATCCCAGCCTCACGTAGTCACAGCTATATGCTCTGTGTGTGCCCAACTGAGAACGTTCAATGGATGCCTTGGTGGCAGCCTGATGTGGGATTTGTTACATTACTTACAAATTGAAAAAGACGTTTTTCATGGTCATTAATATGAGGCTACCTGGTCTTCTTCAAACCCCTCGTTTCCCTTCAGGATTTAAGCATGCAGGGCATCCCAGAAAGAGTGCCAAGAAAAGCAGTGTTGATTCCACATCATGGACAGACATCTTGTCTGTCCTAGGCTACATGGGAGAACAATTTTAGAACTGTTTAGAAATGGTGTTTACTTTTTTCATATATTTGCATATGAAAACTGAGGCTCCCTCAGGCTCATAAGCCTGATTTTAGGGGGCTTTAATGGAGAGCAAATGGTCTAATTTAGCAGGTTTCTGCAAATGATTAGTTATCTTGGATAAATGCCTTGAAAGCAGCAGGTTGCAGTGTTAAGGTTTGTTCTGAAGATAGTATGTGTGTACACGCTGTATGTCTAGATAAAGGTGTATGTTCCCTGGGAGGACAGGATAGAGCACTGCTGGAGGACATAAAAGATTTAAGTGGTTTTAGCAAAAAAACCCAAACAAACCAAAAGAAAAACCAAACTACCCTCTTAAATTTACAAGTAATTTTTTTTCCTATTTCTTTACATGTCTCATGGTCTGCTGCTCTGAAATGTTTGTGACTATTGAGAACAGACTATGCTGGGAGGTATTTCTTTATATTTCCACACAGGAGGATTAACCCGAGAGTTATGAGAGCAAAATGCCATTTTTTTTTCCCTCTATGGGTACCTAATGGTTTAGGCTGCATAGCACTCATCTGCCGTCCTCGTCTGTAACAGCTGATGATCCCCTCTAACCTGCCCTGCCGCAGCTGCTTGATGCCATACCAGTGCCGTTCATTTTGCATGCAAAAAGACCTCTGCTCATTGAATGAAAGACTGTCTGCAGGGCCATTACCCATACTGACATGTGCTTTGGGTTTGCTCGGAAGAGGGCAGCAAATAGCTTTTAATCTCCTGTTTGCTTTTACTAGTAAAATCAACGTGAGATGTGGGCCTTGGGAGAGGATGAAGGCGAGTGTGATGTGTGTCTGCCCAAAGAGACTGACAATGATGCTCCAAAATTAGTTGCCCAAGCAGCAGACACTGCATTTTGAACCCCTAACTACTAGTTTAAACAGTCTTTTTCTTATTGGTGTTCCAAAACATCAGACCGAATCGGAGAGGGGAGGAAGGTGGGCAAGTATGGCCATGATGGAAATAAGGTGGGTTCTCTGTGGGGTGTTGAGCCTGATGAGCCTTGGAGGGCTGAAATCCACCCCTTGGCAGATGGGGGGAAAAACTTGCCCGTCATCACTGAGTGGGGAGAGCAGTGGGTTTCTGCTGGTGTGCCTGGAGGATGGGTGGGAGGTAGGTGCTCTGAG